TGTTAGGAGAGGGAACCTTTGCAGCTGGGGGTTATGGGGGAGTCTTGCCGGATCTAGCAAAGTAGGGAATGCCCCATCCTAGAAGAAGCAGTCACTCTTCCGTCGCCCAGCCTGGAGGAATCCAGGCTCCCCTTCCCTGTGCCATCCTCCGCCATCCCTCGTGCCTCAGTGGGGAGCTCCTGTTGTCAGTTCTGTGGCAAGAGTCAGTGCAAGGTGTCAAGATCTATTTATGTGTCATTATGAGATTCTTCAGTGAATGTTCTGTGCAATATTTTATTTTGCAAATTTTTGGAAGTTTACATTTTTTCATGTTACTAGACAGTGAGGATTGTCAGGAGGAAAGGATTTATTTCCGTGGATGCATCAACAGGGAGGGGGAGGTTATGAATTGCCTAAAATCTGCCTCCCTGACCAACAGTGTCAGGGGTTTTTTCTGCAGGTGAAATGAACAATGCATGAAGGGTGTGAGCATCATTGTGTGTTTGGGGTGGAGTGCAGGGCACAAAGCGCAGTGAGAGATCATGCTAGTACATGTGGCCCATGATCAAAAAATGGCAGATAAATCCCTCCCAGGGCAGAGATTTTAGTATTATAATAAACTAGGGGTTAATATTAGTCCTTCCTTCAGCTTCATGCACAGACTCAGTGGGTCTTCCGCACGGTCTCTGGTGGAGTATCGCTTATCAGTTGTATTTTGGAATCACATAACTTGTTTTATTTCACAGGTTCACAGCTGGAAAGCAATTTGCCTCAGGGCGAAACACACCTTTGAGTTTTTGATTTAGATTATAGTTAGATGCAACTGTAAACTACAGACTTTTGAAACAGTAGTAGAACAAGTCAAGACTTTGGGGTCTATTGGGATGGAATGAATGTATTTTGTGTGTGAGAAATACATTAACTTTGAGGGCCAGGGGTAGAATGCTGTGGTTCAGATCTTTTTCTCCTCCAAAATCCATGTTGAAACTTAATCCCCACTGCAACAGTACTACGCGGTGTGGCCTCTAGGAGGAGATTGAGTCATGAGGGCTCCACCCTTGTCAATGGAATTCGGTGCTTTTATAAAAGGGCTTGACCTAGGACGTTCACTGCTTTTTACCCCTTGCATCCCCCACATGGGGACACAGCATTCCTCCCCTCCAGAGGATGCAGCAACAAGATACCATCCTGGAAAAAGGGAGCAGCTCTCGCCAGTTACCAGTCCTAATGGCACCTTGATCTTGGACTTCCCAGCCAGCAGAATTGTGAGAAATAAGTTTCCATTGTTCATAGATTACCCAGTCTGTCTTACTATGTTACAGCAGCACAGAGAGACTATAATAAAACATACTATAGCTGTTATTTAACTGTTTGATTCTTTCGGTTCAACTCTAATTCCCAGACAGCTGGGTTCAGGTGCTTACTCTGCCATCTCCAGGTTGTCGATCTGAGGTGAGTTTCGTAGAGTATCTGTGACACAGTTGTCTCCTAGTAAGATGGGAACAGATCTTTCTTTTATGGGCTGTTTTGTTGTTATTTGAGTTAGTACATGTAAAGCATTTGGAGTAATGCCTAGCTCTTGGGAAACGTTCCAAAACTTCAGTCACTGCTATTGCTATCATTAGCACAGTTTTTAGATTTTGAATTTTCTTTAAAATCGCTATGGACTTTGTCCTCTCCTGAACATGCCGCTCGAACTCTAGCTCTTCTAGATAGTGAATATCACTTGGTATATGATAGTGAGTATCACATAACATCCAATATTTTTATAGAGATAACCTGTGTTGATTTCTCATTTGTATATTTATTGTATTATCCACAAAAATGAGAAATCCACACTGATTTACAGGATATCATCATCTCTATTGAATTTATAACAAACCAAAATTAGGGACACATAACTTTCTCACAAATGCTTTACATTAATATGTCAAAACATACACTTCAATCAAATCGATCCTTACAGTTCTCTCCTCTTCTCATTTTGTGTGACGATAAGAACTCTTCCACATAATCGCCTGTTGAAATGTGTTTTCATTTCAGGGACCTTTGACATTCAAGGATGTGGCCATAGAATTCTCTCAGGAGGAGTGGACGTGCCTGGACCCTGCTCAGAGGGCTTTGTACAGGGACGTGATGTTGGAGAATTACAGGAACCTGGTCTCCGTGGGTGAGGATAACTTCCCTCCAGAAGTTGGGATCTGTCCTTGTGTATTTTTGTATTTTCCCTGTGTATTTTTGTGCCTCTTGGAGCACCTGTATTGTTTGACTTAGATTGAAGAAGCCCTGTTGATTCAAAATGAAAAGCTTCACAACGTGGCATCTGGCCTTTAACTGTCCCTTTTGTGTAGACACCCTGCCCCTTTGTTGCACAGCAGTGGTTCCAGAGCTGCAGTTTGCGTGAAACCTTATGGCAGACTTTTAAAATATCCAATTTCCCCCTGTTTTCTGCCCTGTGCTTTTGATTCAGTAGTTCCTGGAAGAGAGCGAGATACCTGCGTGTTACAGTGTGGCCTAAACTTTCAGAAAGAGCCAGTCAGTGGATGAGTTTGTCAAGTATTTTTCTGATCCATCTATAATGTCTTCTTCCTGTGTAAACATGGGGCCGGGATTCTGGAAAGGTCACAGCACATCTTCCTTTCTGTCTGTAAGCAGGAGTCTCTCTTCCTGACCTGACTATTATCTCTATATTGGAGCAAGGGAAAGAGCCATGGACTGTGGAGAGCCAAGCGAAAGTAGCGAGAAACCCACATAGGGGGAAATGGATCAAAAGTGTGAACACAGGTAAGAGCCCAGATGAGCGTGGTGGAAGCCGCGTCATTATGCAGTGTTTGGGAAACTCTCTGCAAGTGGGAGAGTCCTGTGGGAAAACAAAAGATTTCCTGTAAGCCCTGAAAAGAAATTCTTCTTCCCTACTTATCACTCTGTTCTTCAGACATTGTAAAAATTTATCCTTTCACCCTCCAGTGGTGCTGCAGCTCAACAGAGACCAAGGCAAAGTGTTTGTCATGATGGACAACACCTGACATCTGGCTTCCGTGAACTCTTTGCTTCCCTGATTCTGTGCAGCACAGGGAAGGCCGTTTCCAAGGGGTCTCTTGCCCCCGTGGTCTCTCCTTTTGTACTCAATTCCATCTGATGCTCAGTTCTCCATCCACATAGGTCAGAACTGTGGCCTCCTGGTCCTGATGCCTTGACCTATCCCGGTTCCATTCCCATTTCCTGTGCTTGGAAGACCTAATCAGGAGATGGGAAGACATGGCCTACTTCCGTTGCACGTGCAGCCTAGAAATTGCAGGGAGCTGTCTCAGGCTCTCTCTGTTCAGGTCCCTCAGTCATTTCTTCAGTTCCACTTTTGCCACTCTTCTCAGGTGGGTGACAGGGGAGTGGGTTGAGTCGTCTGAGATTGTTACTCGAGGAACTGTAAAGATAGTCAACACAAAGGTCCTCTCTTTGATTCTCAGTCTGACAAGGGGAGCCTTTCAAGTTCTTAGCTTAGGGTCTATGGACAGAGCACAGAGTCTTATCTCAAGATCCCTGAAAATCTGACCCCCAAATATGTTTGGATTTTTCTCTCTCCCAGTGTTCTATCTGCTACAAGAATGTAGAAAAACCTTGACTCTTCTGATTTTGTATCTCTTTTAAGTTTGTTTGATTTCGCCTCTGAAACTAGCTTTTGATAAACACATTCCTAGGGTCTGACATGCCATCCTTTTTTTCTGTTGTGATAACCCACATTTAGGTTATGGACAACATGTCGTGCACTATTCCATGGAGTGGGCTTACTGGTTAACAGAAAATTCTTGAAGAATAACACTTTGACCAATATCTTTCAGTATCATTCCGCTACATACAAACCTGCCCATTAAAGTCACTGAATAGAGTGGTAAGCTTGTCCCATGATATTCAGAAAGTATGAGATTCTGGGTTTTGATTAGTGTCAGAAAAGCATCCCGCAGGGGCACTGTGACAATGTTGATCACATATACTATTACTAAGGTCATCCTTTTTGAGCCAGCAATAAATGATGTAGGAATTTCTCCTAAGGAGAACATTGTCGAATTTGACAACTTCATCTCTATGAGGCTGTTGACCAAACCATTGTTCATGCAACATTTCTTTTGCCCAGTGTGTTCCATCATTCACTCTCCTACAACGAATATGAGTTTGATGCATCTTATTGAAGGAGCTCATGAAGTTGAATAAGGCCTATGTTTTTCTATTTTTGCTTTTTTTAAGAGACAGGGTCTTACTCTGTTGCCCAGATTGTAGTGCAGTCGTGCAATCATAGCTCACTGCAGCCCAAACTCCTGGGCTCAAGTGGTCCTCCTGCCTCAGGCTCCTGAGTAGCTGGGATTACATGTGTGTGCCACCATGCCTGACTAATTTTTCGTATTTTTTTTTTTATAGAGATAGGGTTTCACTATGTTGCCCAGGCTGGTCTTGAGCTCCTGGTCTCAAACAGTCCTCCTGTCTTGGCCTCCCAAAGTGTTGGTGTTACAGGCATGAGCCACCATACCCAGCCTAAATTAGTTCTATGTTTTTTAAGTCCACCATAATTTAAGCTACTGCTACTTTCATCTTGTACATTTCCATGTATTATAAATGAATTTTATTTTTAATTATCAGTTCTGTATTTCTGAGGATACTCAGTGTTCTTTGTTTTATGTTGCTATATGTGGTTACTGGGGAGTGCATATTGTTTTATATATTTTACAAGTTTTTCTTCTTTGCTATAGATGGTAGGCCCAGTAGCAGTTTACCTAAAACTTACACATACTCCATTATATTTTGGTAAGATAGTTGTAGTTATTCCTTTCACTTCTGATTCATCTTACTTAATTCTTACTATTAAAGTATACATTTGTCAATTAAATTTATTACACTTTTAAATTGGAATTGTTTGCTATCTTGAGAATATATATATTTTAATTAAGTTACTCTTAATTGCAGAGATACTATTACATTGATTGGCCATACTTTGCTATATAAGATACACTGCTTTTCTACAGTATGTTTCAATTTTCTAAATATAATTTGTTGAGTTTTGTTTAAATTTTACTGTTTTTTTTCTATAACAAATACTGTATTGTAATAATTATTCCCCCTGTCTAGATTCATCATGCCCATCTTAGTATATTAATATTTAAATGTCTCATCTTATTTTACACTTAGCCCATTTCTTTCACTTCAAGGGCTTCTCCACTGGCTTATAAAACCTGTATTTTCTGCTTTTTATATATGGCCTCTTTATGTTGAGTTTGTTTCATTCTATTCCCAATTTGTTGAGTGATTTTGTCATGAAAGGGTATTGATTTTTTTTTAAAATGCTTTTTCCTTCATTCTGTTAATGTGGAGCATTGCATTTGCTGTCTTAGGTTGCAGCATCCTTACATTCCAGGAATGAGTCCCACATGGTCATGGTGTACAGCTCTTTTCATGTGTTGTGTTGAGTTTTGATTGCTAATATTTTCTTGAGGATTTTTGTATCAGCATTCATGAGAGATACTGCTCTGTAGTTTTCTTTATTTGTAATGTCGTTGTCTGGCTTTGGTATCAGGGTCATGCTGGTTTTTGGGTTGTAATTCTTTTTTTTTTTTTTGATGGCTGTTCACTTTTATTTGTGAGTAGATCAAAGGCAGCCATGGAATACAAAACTTGATTTTAGAAAAGTATTGAAAACATTAATTCATAGAAAAGTATTGAAAACATAATAGCAATTCATGTACAATTGCTATTCCAAATGATAATTCAGTAAGATGATAGTATAAAATTTTCTGTTTATAATTTAAAGGTTATCTCAACTATCTTATAAGGAATCATGTTTTTAATTTACTACAAGCCCAAATATCAAAATTGTCCCGATTTAAAATCAATTTCCAAAGTCTCTTTAAGATGGAGATAAAATTTTCTTCAGGGCAGTAGTTTTCAAACGAATGTGCATCAGCATCCTTTGGAGGGTTTGTGAGAACACAAATTTCTGGGGCTCTACCTTCAGAGTTTTTGGTTCAGTGGGTCTGGGGTAGGGGCCAGGAATTTGCTTTGCTAGCAAGTGCCCAGAACTTCTGATGCTGAGTCCAGGAATCACATTATGAAAACCAGTGCTTTAGGGAAAATTTATAGGAATTTATGCAGGAGAGCTTTTTCTCTACTCTTTTTTTTTTTTTAATTTCAAAATATTAAGGGGATACAAATGCTTTAGTTTACATGGATTGTTTTTGTAATGCCTAAGTCCTGGCTATAGGTGTGACTGTCTCTCAAACAGTGTTCATAGTACCCATTAGGTTGATTTATTCCCCTCTTCTCTTCCCCCCATCCCCTGGTTGCTTTCCATTGAGTTTTACTTCCCTCTGTGCACATGTGTGCTCATCAGTTAGTTCCAATTTAATAGTGAGTATATGTGGTGTTTATTTTTCCATTCTCGAGGTACTTCACTTAGGCGAATGGTCTCCACTTCCATCCAGATTGTTGCAAAAGGTATTAATTCTAAATTACCATTTACTAGATTATTCATTAGATGAGTTTGTTGTGGTTATTTACCATTACAATATATTGTGCTGTGGCTTGGCATTTATTTGTTCACAATAAATGTGAAGTAAATATATGTAATTTTTTCCCTTCAATTATGAGAGAGCCATATGTTTACTGACAGTTGGCGTACTTTGGGATCATGATGGAAAACAACTTCTTTTAGTACTAATACATGTTTGCACAACATGCATGTTTTGGTCATAGGGTGTTTAAAACTGGGCTTCCCTAAAATTGATTTGAATTACATATAATCACCCTTTCTTTACTAAAGAATTATGCTCCTTCTGTGTCCCTAAAAATCATGGTGGAAAGGTTTCATAGCTGTTCAGTATAAATATTACTATTGGTGTCGTATGTTTTCAATATGAAATATTTATTTGCCAATTGTAATTAATAGGAAACCCATGTTTCATTATATCTTGTAGATATCTCTTCTAAATGTTTGATCAAGGAATTACTACCAATAGAGAACTGTAATACAGGAGAAAAATTCCAAACAGTGATGTTGGAAAGACATGAAAGCCATGATGTAGATTTTTACTTCAGGAAAATGCAGAAAAATATACATGACTTTGAGTTTCAGTGCAGAGATGGTGGAAAAAATTATAAAGGAGTGCCAATGACCCATAAAAAAAATCTCACTGGTAAAAGAGATGGACATGATCCAGGACATGCAGAAAATAAGCCTGTTCAAAATCAGCTTAGATTAAGCTTTCAATCAAATCTGGCTGAACTGCAGAAATTCCAAACTGAAGGGAAAATTTATGAATGTAATCAAATTGAGAGGACAATTAACAGTGGTTCCTCAGTTTCACCACTTCAAGGAGTTCTTCCTAGTATCCAAACCAACATTTCAAGTAAAGGTGGGAATGATTTTATGCATCCTTCATTACTCACACAAAACCGGAAAACACACATTAGGGAAAAACCTTACAAATGTAACGAGTGTGGTAAAGCCTTTCATCGGAACTCACTACTCACTATACATCAGATAATCCATACAGGAGGGAAACCATACCAATGTGATATATGTGGCAAGGTCTTCAATCATAATTCAAATCTTGTAAATCACAGAAGAATTCATACTGGAGAGAAACCATACAGATGTAAAGAATGTGGAAAGTCCTTTATTCAAAGTTCCAACCTTGTAATTCATCAGAGAATTCATACTGGAGAGAAACCTTACAGGTGTAATGAGTGTGGCAAAGCCTTTAAACGGGGCTCATGCCTCACTACACATCAGATAATCCATTCAGGAAAGAAACCATATAAATGTGATGTATGTGGCAAGGTCTTCAGTCAAACCTCACATCTTGCAAAGCACCGGAGAATTCATACTGGAGAGAAACCATACAGATGTAATGAATGTGGCAAGGTCTTTAGTCAAAATTCACATCTTGCAAGGCATCGGAGAATTCATACCGGAGAAAAACCTTACAAATGTAATGAATGTGGCAAAGCCTTTAATCTGGTGTCGTTACTCACTAGACATCAGATAATTCATACCAGAGAGAAACGTTACCAATGTAATGAATGTGGCAAGGTCTTCAGTCACAACTCATCCCTAGCACGTCATCGGGGAATTCATACTGGAGAAAAACCTTACAAATGTAATGAGTGTGGCAAAGCTTTTAATTGGTGGTCACTCCTCACTAGACATCAGATAATCCATGTCAGAGAGAAACCATATAAATGTGATGTATGTGGCAAAGTGTTCAGTGAAAGTTCACGCCTTGAAAGACATCTGAGAATTCATACTGGGGAGAAACCTTACAAATGTAATGAGTGCGGCAAGGTCTTCAGTTACAGTGCAAACCTTTCAATTCATAGAAGAATCCATACTGGAGAGAAACCTTTTAAATGTAATGAATGTGGCAAGGTCTTCAGTTACTACTCATGCCTAGCACGTCATCGGAGAATTCATACTGGAGAGAAACCTTACAAGTGTAATGATTGTGGCAAAGCCTATAGTGAGCGTTCAAGCCTTACTAAACATCAGGTAATCCATACTGAAGAGAAATCTTACAATTGCAATGAATTTGGCAAGGCTTTTGTGCAAAGTTCAAAACTTGTAAGATATCACAGAAATTTTACTGGGGAGAAACCACACAAATGCAGTGAATGTGGTAAAACTTTTATTCATAGGGCCAGCCTGGTTTACCATCAGAGAAGACATACTGGAGAAATGCCATACAAATGTATAGAATGTGGCAAGGTCTTCAATTCCACTTCAAACCTTGCAAGTCATCGGAGAATTCATACTGGAGAGAAACCGTACAAATGTAATGAATGTGGCAAGGTCTTCCGTCATCGCTCACCCCTAGCACGTCATCGGAGTATTCATACTGGAGAGAAACCTTATAAATGTGATGAGTGTGGCAAAGCCTTTAGAGTGCGTTCAATCCTCGTTAACCATCGGGTAATGCATACTGGAGAGAAACCTTATAAATGTAATGAATGTGGTAAAACTTTTATCCAAAGGTCAAAGCTGGTGTACCATCAGAGGAATCATACTGGAGAGAAGCCATACAAATGTACTGAATGTGGAAAGGCCTTTGGACAGTGGTCCTACCTCAATAAACATAAAAGAATTCATTCTGGAGAAAAACCTTATAAATGTCACGAGTGTGGCAAATCCTTTATTAGCCGCTCAGGCCTCTCTAAACATCAGATAAAACATACTAGAGAGAACCTTCCAAATACACTGAATTTGACAAGGCCTTTAGACATTGTC